GGATAGTCTTTCTTTTAAATCTGCCACTATGCTGACTCATAGGCGTTTGTAGCTCCGCCCTCTTTTGAAAAGAGCACAATCTCATTTGAATTTAAAGCGACAGTCACCAAAAGTGCACAACTAAGATCAAAGCCTAAAAGAGTCCATTTCGAAGAGTAATAAAACATTATTTGTTGCTTATTTTGAGCTGAATCTTCACACACACACACACACACTCTCTTTCTCTCTTTAGGAACATCAGAGACTTATTTTACATCTTGTATAAAAGGGCATAATAGATGCTCTTTAATTTTAATTTCTGGAACTGTTTTTATTAAATATATACAAGTATCGGCTCTCCAATAGTGAGAACGCTGTGCTTGTTAAAACTGACCGTTTAATGTAAGAAACATCATTCAGCCATTCTTTGAAACTATTTTGGGTTTCATTCTGTCATTTCTTTTGAAATCACTTGAACCGTCTCTTGTGTGATATGCCTTTGTGTACAGCGTATTAGCGAATTTTTAGTTTTACACTTTGTTCTAAAGATGATTCTCTATTTTTGGCTATATTTGTGTTTTTGATGAGAGCAGGGTGGGTTTAATAGGGTTTTGACGTTTATTCTTTGATAAGCAGGAAAATGTCAGTCAGTGTGCTGAAATTTTATCAGAGATAAACACATGCTCCATACTGTACCTCCCTGTTAAATATCACCAACCTTATTTCACCAAGAAGGACGTGTTCCTGGATTAACATCTATGTTGATCCTGGAACAACATTCCAATCAGCCAATCAGAATTAAGGGATACGTTTAGAGTTCATGTTAAGTTTAGGCTTAAGGTTAGGTTTATGCACTTCTACATGATTGTAATCAAACTATTATTCCCTCTGATTTTGGAATAATTTACAGTTATGTTTGGGTTTAGGAGTAGGGAATAGGTATGGATTACATGTTCCAACAAAAATGATGTTCCAGGATCAACACAGATGTTAATGCAGGATCGCATCGTACACAGCAAAATCATGACGTGCATTAAATATGATCGTTGGTTTAAGAAAATGCCAAGCGGGTCCTCCAGATCCCATACATTGCAGGGTGGTGGTAAAGTACAGTACATCTGGAAAGTGTTCAAAGCGCTTCACTTTTTCCACATTTTTCTAAAATGGATTAAAGATTAATTTATTTCCTCAAAATTCTGCACACAATCCCCCATAATGACAATGTGAAAAAAAGAGCTTTTGAAATTGTTGCAAATTTAATAAAAATAAAAAACCTGAAAAGTTAATTTTTGGTCACATCAATTTAGTTTCTTATGGTCTGAGAGTCCTTCAGATGCCTTTTGGAAATTCCAGGCGGGGAGTGGCTACCGTCTGGCCGCTGCACCATACAGGCCTGATTGGTGGATTGCTGCACAGATGGTTGTCCTTCTGTAAGGTTCTCCTCTCTCCACAGAAGAACGCTGGAGCTCAGACAGAGTGACCATCGGGTCATTGACCATCTCCCTGACTAAGGCTTTTTTCCCCCGATCACTCAGCTTAGATGGCCGGCAGCTCTAGGAAGAGTCCTGGTGGTTCCAAACATCTTACACTTACGGATGATGGAGGTCACTGTGCTCACTGGAACTTTCAGAGAAGCAGAAATTTTTCTGTAACCTTCCTCAGCTTTGTGCCTAGAGACAATTCTGTCTTGGAGCTTTACAGACAATTCCTTTGTCTGCTTGGTTTGTGCTTTGACATGCACTGTCAACCCTGGGACCTTATATAGACAGGTGTTTGCCTTTTCAGATCATGTCCAATCAGCTGAATTGACCACAGTTGAACTCCAATGAAGCTGCTGAAACATCTCAAGAGTGATCAGTGGAAGCAGAATGTACCTGAGCTCAATTTAGAGCTTCTCGGCAAAGGCTGTGAATACTGATGTACATGTGATTTTTCAGCTTTTTTATTTTTTATAAATTTGCAACAATTTTAAAAACTCAGTTGGCATTTCTGTGTGGAGTTTGCATGTTCTCCCTGCCTTCGCGTGGGTTTCTTCCGGGTGCTACGGTTTCCCCCACAGTCCAAAGACATGCGGTGCAGGTGAATTGGGTAGGCTAAATTGTCCGTAGTGTATGATGTGTGTGTGGATGTTTCCCAGAGATGGGTTGCGGCTGGAAGGGCATCCGCTGCGTAAAAAACTTGCTGGATAAGTTGGCGGTTCATTCCGCTGTGGCGACCCCGGATTAATAAAGGGACTTAGCCGACAATAAAATGAATGAATGAAGCGCTATGAATACTTTCCGGATGCACTGAACACGTCATATGACAATTAATAAGAAGGTGTTGATTTTCTGTATATAATTTAAGTATATATGATTACACTCAAAGTAATATTTCTGCTGCTTGTTCAGACTACTTATTTATAATGAGCTGAAGCAACACAATTCTTGATGTTTTTTTTGGGATAACTTAATTATTTTATGTCCAACTTAAATTTGTTAAAACAACTTAATTGATTTGTGTTGGGATAACATGAAGGAATTGTGTGGAACCCTGCATTTTTACAGTGTATATAATTAAAGTATGTAAGTAGAGTAAAAACAAAATATACACAGAATGCAGCGTATCTCTTTGTGAGGCATGTATAATATTGGCCAGGGTGTCCAAAAAAATGTGTGTGTGTGTGTATAAATGTGTGTGTGTGTTATTATGGGGGATGGGGGAGTGCGATTTTGGGTTTATGAGCACTGGGGGAAGGGAGCGCTCTTTCATTTGTGAGCTCTAAGAACATAATGACTGACATCTCAATGAACGCAGGAAGAGAGAAGCAGATCACACCTGTCACGCACTCTCTGTGTGTTTATTAAGCATGAGAGCGGCGACTGTACGCATGGAAATTCATGAACGATATCAGAGACCGATAATGGTCCGCTTGTTGTCTGGCAGGCCGTTGAGAGAGGAAGGGAAGGGGGATGGGGTGAAGGATTAGCCTCCCCAAATCTATTAGAAATTCATTCATATGAAATTCACTTATCAAGACGCTGAAGGAAAATAGAGGGCTGCTTACTCACTTACGCACTGAGAGTAGGTGATTCGACCCAGTTGTGCTGTGTTTCTTGTAAAAAGGTCACTTGACGTCATGAAGCTACTGTACATCAGCCTGAGAAATGGGGCAGTGTTTTTATTTTGCTTTCACATGAATATCTGACTCGCATAACTGACTGTTGCTGAAGCTGAATACTCAGTGTTTTTGTGGTACAACGTAGTAGACCTGGGGTCTGTTCTTCATACCTCTCGCTTGGTGATTTGGCAGATCCTGGATCTTTTAATCTTGATAACTGATCTCTGGCTAATTTGGTTCTTCAAACAAGTTCGCGAATCAGATTAGATTGTCTGGATGAACTGATCTGAGATCGATGTGTGATGTGAAGGACGATCTATAGATCCTCTAAATCATGATCAGCAATGCAGCGATTGGCTGACGGTACAGGAGCGTAATGACATCATCTGATTAATATTCAATTATCCATGTGAGCAAAATTACATTAAATTAACAGAATGATACGCAAATAGGATATTATATGATGCGTGAATATGATACGCAATAACTTTACACCTTGTTGTGGGCTGCATGCTTGGCCCTTTCATGTGTCAAGAGCCATTTATTTAGTTTTACAGTTAGAGCGGATTTTCCTTAGTAACCATAGTACTATTATTGTAGCCGTTTTTTTAATCGGTGTAAAAAATAACTGGATGTTTACAAAAGCATTTTGATATTAGTAAAGGTGTCTGCAACTTTTGTGAAGCATCAAATCACCGTTATATTAACTGTCAAAACATGTTTATGACTGCATTAGTGTATTATTGGTTTAAAAAAAAATCACATATTGTGCATGTCTATTATCATACACAAATAGTACTAAAGCGATCTAAAAGTTCATATCAATCAAAGTTCTCTCTTTGTTTTCTCTTTTTGTACTTTCATTTCGGGGGTGCAGATAGTATACGTTTATTAATATTTATATCTTTATTTATTCTATTAATACCTATATATATATATATATATATATATATAGTTAAAAAATATATTTACTATTTCCCCAAGTGTATATAACTTCTACTGTAAGAAAATATTTTAGAATTCGGTACACACTTTCTGTATTTTCTTTGCTTGAACTGACCCGATCTAATCATGTTTATGTGAATTGAACCTGATTCTGACCAGGTTTGAGCTACCAAAACGGTTGCTATGACAACAGCTCTGGGATCAGCTTTGAAGAACGAAACAATCCTGGATCATGTCAAATCGTCAATATCCAAATCTGAGTAATCCACGTACGAAGAACAGACCCCAGGGGTGTCCGGGGTGCCAGTGTCCTGCATATTTAAGTTCTAACCCCAATTAGACACACCTGAGCTAGCTAATCAAGGTCCTTCTAGGTATCTTAGAAACCTTCAGGCAGGTGTGTTAAAGGAAGTTGTAGCTAAACTATGCAGGAGACCGGCTCTCCAGAGCTGACTTTAGACACCCCTAGTAGACCAAAAACTGACTGACTAGGCACCCATTAAAGGGATAGTTCACCCAAAAAATGAAGATTTACTCACTATTTACTCAATCTTAATTGGTTCCAAAACCTTTATGAGATTGTTTCTTCTGTTGAACACAAAAGGAGATATTTAGAAGAAAGTTGAAAATGTGTAACCATCGACTTTCATAGTAGGACAAACAAGTACTGTGGAAGTCGATGGATACAGGTTTCCATCCATTTATTAATTTTCCCTTCGGCTTAGTCCCTTATTTATCAGGGGTCACCACAGCGGAATGAACTGCCAACTATTCTGGCATATGTTTTACGCAGCGGATGCCCTTACAGCCACAACCCAGTGCTGGGAAACACCCATACACTCTCGCATTCACACACACACACACACACACACACACTCATACACTAGGGACAGTTTTGTTTACACAAATTCACACCAGCGCATGTCTTTGGACTGTGTGGGAAACTGGAAACTGATGGTTTCTTGACTTTCTGCAGGGCTGCTTGAGGAAGCGGGAGCGATGGCCAATGCCTCAACAGACCTGGACAATGCTGAGGCCCAGAGACAGCTCAACAACAACAACAGGCCAGCAGGCACAGGATTCTGGGAAGCGCAGTCCACCAGCGCCAAACTATTCGAGTGCTCTCGCATCAAAGCACTAGCAGGTACTATTTATATATATGTGTGTGTGTGTGTGTGTGTGTGTGTTTGTGCGCACTGAAAAAATGGTTAATTGGATTTTCTACATACCTTAAATCCAATTAATATATATATTTGAGCAATATCACACTCGTAGCAGTGCGATATGGCTGTATATCGGCACTGGTGGGAGGCATGCGCGGCCTCGTGCCTTAGTGCTCCCACCAGTGCCGATATATGAGGGCTATGAGTGTGATATTGCGTTTATACAACAGTTTGACGGCATAATTGTGTATATAAAAACAAAATCAAACATGGAGAGTCTCAAAAACCCTTTTGTATGAGGAACTACTTTCTTCCGCGTTGGATTCAATTCATAAGCTGACAGTTAAACAGCTGAGCAAGCATCATTTAAACAGTAGATCTGTAGTTTCTGCTTTTTGCTGGCTGTATGTGGGCGGAGTAATACACAAAGGGTAAAGAGGCTGTACAGGTGCTGATATTACTTAAATATACCACGGCTATCAGCCAATCAAATTCGATAACCAGACAGAACTGTTGTATAAATATATATGTTTATTAAATATGAAAGATATGTGGATGATGTGTCAAAATGATTGACAGGGGACATAACTAAGCAACATCTTTTAATGAGAAAGTAGTATGTCCTAAAGATGGCATACTCTCCTGTATATACTTTTAGTGCATAGTATAAGTATGCTAATCGGGGCGCAGCAACAGACTTTAATATAAATTGTATTTTTGTCCCGCTATCAGATGAAAGGGACGCAGTACAGAAGAAAACCTTCACCAAGTGGGTGAACTCTCACCTGGCGCGTGTGTCCTGCCGTATCTCTGACCTGTACAATGACCTGAGAGACGGATACATGCTGATCAGACTGCTGGAGGTGCTGTCAGGAGAGCTGCTGGTGAGTTCCCCATTCACACACTACACTAAACTGAAAAGATTGATTGGATTTACTGACATTTCTTAAGGTAAGTGGTTGCAAACGATTTATATGAGCTAAATTATAACAAATGAATTTAGTTGAACATTTTATTTGTTTGTTTAAACTCTGGCAGCACAGCGGCACAGTAGGTAGTGTTGTCGCCTCACAGCAAGAAGGCCGCTGGTTCGAGCCTTAGCTGGGTCAGTTGGTGTTTCTGTGTGGAGTTTGCCTGTTCTCTGCGCAATCATGTGGGTTTCCCCCGGGTGCTCCGGTTTCCTCCACAGTCCAAAGACATGCGGTACAGGTGAATTGGGTAAATTGTCTGTAGTGTATGAGTGTGAATGAGTGTATTTGCATGTTTCCCAGTCATGGGTTGCAGCTGGAAGGGTATATACTATGTAAAAACATATCTAACTTTGCACAGAAACGACAGCCGTGCCTTTTAAAAGACTAGAACCGATGACGTTCTTGCTGTGAGGCAACAGTGTTAATCACTGGGCCACCGTGCCACCCTATGAAGGGAAATGTGAAGGAGTAGAGGTGGAAGGGGGGATTCTTCAAATCAAAGATGACCAGCAAGAAACCCTTGCTCTTTATTGTGGGTTAGGAATCGTCTGATTGGTGGATCATACATAGTTAATGCAGAACCAGCCGTGTTCAATCATAATCACGTGATCCTCTGGAAATTAGTTCATAAATAAAATTCACTTAGCGTCAAGCATTTCTAAGTGTGGACTTTTGAACTCGATTGCGCTAAACTTAGTTTCCATGGCAACATCTCTCATTATCATAATGTTTCTATGTATTTATTCTCATTCATTTTCTTGTCGGCTTAGTCCCTTTATTAATTTGGGGTCACCACAGGGAAATGAACCGCCAACTTATCCAGCACGTTTTTATGTAGCAGATGCCCTTCCAGCCGCAACCCATCTCTGGGAAACATCCAAAAACACTCATTCACACACACTCATACACTATGGACAATTTAGCCTACTCAATTCACCTGTACCGCATGTCTTTGGACTGTGGGGAAAACCAGAGCACCTGGAGGAAACCAACGCGAACGCAGGGAGAATATGCAAACTCCACACAGAAATGCCAACTGAGCCGAGGATCGAACCAGCGACCTTCTTGTTTTGAGGCAACAGCACTACCTACTGCGTCACTGCTTCGCCCCTTTATGTATTTAATAATTTATTATTATAATTTTTTTCACACAAGGCCTATATAATTGTCTTTGAGGGAGAAATGCTGAAATGCTGAACTTGTTTTTGTTTTAAGCCTCGGCCCACAAACCGAGCTTTAATTTGATTGCGCTAAAAATTTTTGAATTTTGCACTTTGGCCGGTTTCCATGGCAACATCTCTCATTTTCATTCCCATATATTTCATTCATTCGTTTTATTTTCGGCCTGGTCCCTTTATTATTCAGATGTCTCCACAGTGGAATGCACCGCCAACTTATCCAGCATATATTTTACACAGGGCGTGTTTTCCAGCTGCAATCCATTAGTTGGAAACACCCATACACACTCATACATACACACTCATACACTACGGACAATTTAGCTTACCCAATTGACCTATAGCGCATGTGTTTGGACTTGTGGGGGAAACCGGAGCACCCGGAGGAAACCCACGCGAACGCAGGGAGAACATGCAAACTCCACACAGAAACGCCAACTGACCCAGCTGAGGCTCAAACCAGCGACCTTCTTGCTGTGAGGCGACAGCACTACCCACTGCGCCACCACGCAGATTCATATATATTTTTAAAATTATTCTTACTATTAATATTTTTATTAGTTTCTTTCACGCAGGGCTTTAATAAGTGTCTTTCGTGGGATGAATGCAGAAAGTTTCTTGTTTTTTGTTTTCAGCCTCGACCTACGAGAGGCAGGATGAGGATTCACTGTCTGGAGAACGTGGATAAAGCCCTTCAGTTCCTCAAAGAGCAGAGGGTTCATCTTGAAAATGTTGGATCTCACGATATAGTGGATGGCAACCACCGCCTGACTCTCGGCCTCATCTGGACCATCATCCTTCGCTTCCAGGTAAAAGCTGCTCCACTGCTGGAAGGGTTTTTGCATTGAAGAAGCTGTAGTATAATGTCTCTGTGATCGGATGTTGGCTGATCTGTAAAGAGGTGGGCTTGTTTGGAGCTGTGGGGGTGTTTGATTCTCTGTCTGCCCTTTATGGCCCCTGTTGAGTGTGTGATCTCTTGTCTGTGTGGTGCCCGTGTGGCTGAATGGCCGATTGTCAATACCTGCATTACGTACTGATGGATTGGAGAGGAGTTGGGAGGATACAGTAGAGCCAAAGGCATTGGTTCAAATCACTCACTTAATGCGCACTTACTGTGGCTGCAGTATGCATGTGATCCACAGAACCACAGAGTGACCAATGTTTTATTTTACACTTTTAAGAGGGTGATAATGAGACAGTCTGCTGTAATTTTGTAATATTTCTAGATTATTTGTATAAAATCTGCAGATTTATGCATAATGATTTTCAGAGTACACTAGCTGAAAACTAAACACATGAAAATCTGGCTATGTTTGTTCTGGTTAGTCGGCTGGCTAAATCTGCTCCTATTGGTCAGCTGGCCCAGTTGACTCTAGTTGGTCTTCTGGCTAAATCTCCTCTGGTTGGTCAGCTGGCCCCGTTTACTTTGGTTGGACATCTGGCTAAATCTGATCTTGGTGGTTAGCTGGGTAAATGCGCTCTGATTGGTCAACTGGCCTTGTCTTCTATGATTGGTCAACTGGATAAATCTGCTCTGGCTGGTCAACTGGCCCCGTTTACTTTAGTTGGTCTTCTGGCTAAATCTGCTCTTATTGGTCAGCTGGCCCAGTTTTCTTTGGTTGGTTAGCTGGCTAAATCTGATCTGGTTGGTCAACTGGCCCAGGTTACTTTGGTGGTCCTCTTGCCAAATGTGCACTGATTGGTCAACTGTCTTTGTCTTCTTTGATTGGTCAACTTGCTAAATCTGCTCTAGCTGGTCAACTGGCTGGGTTTATTTTAGTTGGTCTTCTGGCTAAATCTGCTCTTATTGGTCAGCTGGCCCAGTTTTCTTTGGTTGGTCATCTGGCTAAATCTGATCTGATTGGTCAACTGGCCCAGTTTACTTTGGTTGGTCAACTGGCTTAATCTGCTCTGATTGGTCAACTGGCCCAGTTTACTTTGGTTGGTCAACTGTGTAAATATGCTCTGATTGGCCAGCTGGCCCAGTTTACTTTGGTTGGACATCTGTCTAAATCTGATCTGGGTGGTCAACTGGCCCAAATTACTTTGGTGGTCATCTGGGTAAATGCGGTCTGATTGGCCAACTGGCGTTGTCTTTTATGATTGGTCAACTGGCTAAATCTGCTCTGGCTGGTCAACTGGCTCGGTTTATTTTGGTTGGTCATCTGGCTAAATCTGCTCTGATTGGTCAACTGGCCCAGTTTACGTTGGTTGGTCAACTGGCTAAATCTGCTCTGATTGGTCAACTGGCCCAGTTTACTTTGGATGGTCATCTGTCTAAATCTGCTCTGATTGGTCAACTGGCCCAGTTTGCTTTGGTTGGTCATCTGTCTAAATATGCTCTGATTGGTCAACTGGCCCAGTTTGCTTTGGTTGGTCATCTGGCTAAATCTGCTCTGATTGGTCAACTGGCCCAGTTTACGTTGGTTGGTCAACTGGCTAAATCTGCTCTGATTGGTCAACTGGCCCAGTTTACTTTGGATGGTCATCTGTCTAAATCTGCTCTGATTGGTCAACTGGCCCAGTTTGCTTTGGTTGGTCATCTGTCTAAATATGCTCTGATTGGTCAACTGGCCCAGTTTGCTTTGGTTGGTCATCTGCCTAAATATGCTCTGATTGGTCAACTGGCTTAGTTTGCTTTGGTTGGTCATCTGTCTAAATATGCTCTGATTGGTCAACTGGCTTAGTTTGCTTTGGTTGGTCATCTGTCTAAATATGCTCTGATTGGTCAACTGGCCCAGTTTGCTTTGGTTGGTCATCTGTCTAAATATGCTCTGATTGGTCAACTGGCCCAGGTTGCTTTGGTTGGTCATCTGTCTAAATATGCTCTGATTAGTCAACTGGCCCAGTTTACTTTGGTTGGTCAGCTGGCTAAATCTGCTCGTTATCAGCTGGCCTTGTCTGGCATGATTGGTCAACCTCTTAGAGGGTATGTCAGAAATCTATCGTGCCTTAAACACAGCTGGTTTTCAGCGCTCCAATATATGTACAAAAATTATGCTAAAGTGCAGAGCAGTCGCCTGGTGTGTATTGTCTGTCAGTAAAGCAGTGGTGGCAGATTACCCAGAATGCTGTGCGTCTGCAGCCAAGAAAGCTGATGCTGTGGTGTGACTCTGGACGCAGGGACTGTGCGAGTGTCACCTGATCCAGCCAGTGTGATCTCAGGGTGGGGCTGTGTTTAGCCCTCACCTCTGTCCCCTTGACGTTCTTCCTCTTCCTCTTCCTCGTTCATTCATCATCCCGCCTCCCTCCGCAATATTACTTTCTATATGCTGCTGCTGTCTCTGTAAATGCCGGAAGGTCTCTCCGCACCCCTGTTTATCTGCTTTTCTACCCTCCCCATCTCTCTCTCTCTGCTGGAGTTCAGTCTGCTCAGTCAGCAGGTAAGGCCGAACACTGCAGCAGCCCATCATAGACAGAACCAGAGACAACAAAACATGCAAACTTCAGTGTCTTGTGGACCAGAGATGGGACAGATGTAGATGTCACAATGAACTTAGGATACATTTTATAGGCTGACGAAGGATTCACGCTTGCTTTTTCTCGTCATCTATTATTCATCATAACTCTGCGATTACATTTGTCCATGTTTTGCTTTGTGGATATGCTCGTTTGAATGATAAACCTTTGTTCGGGTTGTTACATTCATGTTTAAAGGGGTGGTCCACAGTGTTCTTCTGAGGCTTGGTTGTGTTTATAAGATGCAAAGCAATGTGTGCTCATGCTTCAATTGTAAATAATCAGGTTATTTTTTCATATATCTTACAGCTACTCTGCTAACATGAAAACGACTGTCATATTTCCTAGTTCCCCTTAAAATCCCACCCTCAAGAGGATCTGATTTATCAGCTAAAATAATGTGCTGTGATTCGCAAATAATATTAAATCACATCCCACCTGTCCTCAGGTCTTTACACTGGCTTCCAGTTACATTCAGAATAGATTTTGAAGTATTATTACTGGTCTATAGATCACTAAATGGCCTAGGACCTCAATACAATACAGATATGCTCACTGAATACATACCTAACAGATCACTCAGATCTTTAGGATCCTATAAACTAGAAATTCCAAGAGTTCAGTCAAAGCAGGGTGAATCAGCTTTCAGCTACTAACAGCGCCCTCTGGTGCTGGAATCAGCTTCCAGAAATGATTAGATGTGCTCCAACATTAGGCAAATTTACATCAAGACTAAAAACACATCTGTTTAGCTGTGCCTTTACTGAATGAGCACTGTGCTACATCCCACAGATCGCACTATTATTAACCATGATTTTAAACAAACACAGAAATGAAGGGTGATTCCCTTCAAGATCCCGAAAGATTCACACACAGCCTTACACAAACAAAGAGTGTGAAATGAATCGGATTCTAACTTTGACCTTTAACATACTGTATTATTCTTAAAAATTGCTTATATATATATATATATATATATATATATATATATATATACAGTTGAAGTCAGAATTATTAGCCCCCCTGAATTATTAGAACCCCTGTTTATTTTTTTCCCCCAATTTCTATTCAACAGAGAGCAGATTTTTCAACACATTTCTAATCATAATAGTTTTAATAATTAATCTCTAATAACTGATTTGTTTTCTCTGTGCCCTAAAGACAGTAAATAATATTTTACTAGATATTTTTAAGGCACTTCTATACAGCTTAAAGTGACTTTTAAAGGCTTAACTTGGTTAATTAGGGTAACTAGGCAGGTTAGGGTAATTAGGCAAGTTATTGTATAACAATTGTTTGTTCTGTAGACTATCGAGAAAAAAGTTAGCTTAAAGGGGCTAATAATTTTGTCCTTAAAATGGTGTTTAAAAAATTAATAACTACTTTTATTCGAGCCGAAATAAAACAAATAAGACTTTCTCCAGAAGAGAAAACATTATCAGACATACAGTGAAAATTTCCTGAATCTGTTAAATATAATACGTGAAATATAAAAAAAAGCAACAAAAATTCAAAGGGGGGCTAATAATTCTGACTTCAACTGTATATATATATATATACAGTTGAAGTCAGAATTATTAGCCCCCCTGTATTATTAGCGCCCTTGTTTATTTTTTTCCCCAATTTCTGTTTAATAGAGGGAAGATTGTTTCAGCATATTTCTAAGCATAATAGTTTTAAAAACTTATTTCTAATAACTAATTTATTTTATCTTTGTCATGATGACAGTAAATAATATTTTGCTTGATATTTTTCAAGACACTTCTATGCAGCTTAAAGTGACATTAAAAGGCTTAACTAGGTTAATAAGGTGAACTAGGCAGGTTAGGGTAATTAGGCAAGTTATTGTATGATGATGGTTTGTTCTGTAGATTATCGGGAAAAAAAATAGCTTAAAGGGGCTAATAATATTGTCCCAAAAATGTTTTTAAAAAAATTAATAACTACTTTTATTCTTGCCGAAATAAAACAAATAAGACTTTCTCCAGAAGAAAAAATATTATCAGACATACTGTGAAAATGTCAATGCTCTGTTAAACATCATTTAATAAAGAAAATAAAGAAATATTTAATAAAGAAAATAAAAATGAAAAGGGGGCTAATAATTCTGACTTCAACTGTATATATATATATATATATATATATATATATATATATATATATATATATATATATATATATATATATATATATATATATATATATATATATATATATATATTTTTTTTTTTTTTTTTTTTTTATAATTACTGAAATGTATTTAAAATGTGATTTCGTCCCCAGCGCATGGATGCATATCAAAATAACATGATTTAGACCTGATATGAAATCATGCTATTTCGTTTTCTCATCAGATCGCAGGTGCACATTTCAGATTACAACACATTTTTATTGTCTTCTCTCATTCTTAACAGATTCAGGTGATTAAGATTGAGACGGAGGACAACAGAGAGACTCGCTCAGCTAAAGATGCCCTACTTCTGTGGTGTCAGATGAAAACAGCAGGGTAAATATGCTAAATACATCCATTTCCTTTATACTACTGTGCAAAATGTCTTTTAGCAGTGGTATGATGGCTAAACGTAGTTATTTTTCAGTCTCTGCCTGAACAGAGAAATTCTATTTGGAGAAAAACACACTGATAAAAACAATTCATGAACTGGCCTTCAAGTCATGAACTGGCCTTCACAGAGTCCAGACCTGAATATTAATGAGATACTTATTTGAACATTGAAAAAAAAAAGTCTAATTTTAATGCAATTAAATAATAAAAGATGCCTAAATCTTAAGAAAAACTTGGGGAATTACTCGAAGAAGCATGGTCTACTCCAGCACAGTCACTGCAAAAAAGAGTAATGATTAATCTATAATTATTATAATCTATTAATATTAGTTAATGCAATTATTTTTACGTGTGTGTTCATATTTTCTGTCATCTTAAAGATGGTATTAAAAGAAGTATGCATGCTAAAACCCCAAAATTAGTGGGGGTCTTAACTTTTGCACAGCATTGTTTGAGTTTAATTTTTAGCTGTTATAGTTGACTTTCTCATTTATCAGAAGTTGTTCATGATCTTTTTACGCGTTTCCTTTGCTTTGCAGGTACCCTGAGGTCAACATTCACAACTTCACCACCTGCTGGAGGGACGGCTTGGCTTTCAATGCTCTTATTCACAGACACCGGTTAGTATGTGCTCATTACAACACCATTAAAATCATTGACAGAGTCTGTTCTGAGAGTTGACTTCTGCTGTTTCACAGGCCTGATTTAATTGAATTCCACAAGCTGACCAGATCCAATGCAACACACAACCTCCAGCAAGCCTTTAACATCGCCGAACAGAATCTGGGACTCACCAAACTACTAGACCCTGAGGGTAACAAAATTAAACTACACTCTAAATATAGGCACACATATTATACAGTATAATGATTCAGCCACAAATCTGATGTCTGATTTGATCATGTAAAACAATTACAATCTTCTCCAAACTAGATGTAAACACGGAGAATCCAGATGAGAAGTCCATCATCACTTATGTAGTCTCCTACTATCATTACTTCTCCAAAATGAAGGCGCTTATCGTAGAAGGGAAGAGAATTGGAAAGGTAAGAGGTGTTAAATTCATTATAAATAACCAGTCCGAAAGGGTTATCAGATTAAATCGTGCATGTCTTTTGGTGCTAGACATCACCACAGCCAACAATTTTACGTTACAAAAACACTCTTGCAATGTTTCCATCAGGTTATAAAACATTTAGTTTGAACGTTATTAGAACATTTAAAAACCTCCAGTTTTTTAGATGTTGTATTAACGTTATTGTTTGGTTATAGGAATTTTATTAAAAATAGTTTTTAGATTATTTCATTCTCTTGTTATATTTATGTTTAAATAACGTTATTTAAAACATTATTAAAACCTTCCATTCCCCATTATATGAATGTTCTAAGAATGTTTTCCTAACGTTCCTATTAAGCTATGAAATTGTGTTTTCTTAAGTTTTTAGAACGTTGTATTAACAACTCAATGGAAACATTTCAAATGCTGATCATTTTAAAATGTTCCATCAAAAACACAATGATAACATTTTTATCCTAATGTGTTTTGAACGTTTCAGTTATAACCTTATGGTAACGTTTTTAATGGTAACAATTTTAAAACGCTCCAACACAAACACAATGATAACAATTTTTATCAAAGCGTTTTTAGAACATTCCATTCACAACTTAATTGTTTTAATGATAATGTTTTTAAAACATTGCCACAACAACACAATGATAAAGTTTTTATCGTAATGTTTTAAGAACGTTGTATTAACAACTCAGTGGTAACATTTTCAATGCTAACACATTTTAAATGTTCCAACAAAACACAATGATAACATTATTATCCTAGCATTTTTAGAACAATCCATTTATAATCTTATGGTAACGTTTTTAATGATAACAATTTTAAAACATTGCCCCACACCACAATAATAACGTTTTTATTGTAATGTTTTTAGAACGTTGTATTAACAAATCAATGGTAACATTTTTAATTCTAACGTTTTTAAAACATTTATAACATTTTTAGATCGTTCCATTCACAATTTGATGTTTTTATTGCTAGTGTTTTTAAAACGTTCTACCAACAACACAATGATAAAATGTTAATTGTAATGTTTTTAGTACGTTGTGTTAATAACTCAATGGTAACATTTTTAATTCTAACGTATGTAAAACGTTTCAACAAAAACACAATGATAACATTTTTATCCTAAGATTTTTAGAACTTTCCTTTCACAACTCAATGAAAAATTTTAATGCTAGTGTTTTTAAAACGTTCTACCAACAGCACAATGATAACGTTTTTATCCTAACAATTTTAGAACATTCTATTAACAACTTAATGGTAATTTAACGCTAACGTTTTTAAAACACACAATAATAAAAAATTTTATTCTAATGTTTTTAGAACGTTCCATCCATAACTTATTAGTTGCGTTTTTAATGGGAACGTTTTTAAAACATTCCCGCAACAAAACAATGATAACATTTTTTGCTAATGTTTTTAGAACATTTATTAATTACCAATAACTTTAAGAAAACATTCTACAATTACGCAAGAACATTTTTTGATATCTTGAAGAGAACCTTTAGAGAGCATTAGCCAGTTACCAGAAGATTTCATGTTAGCTGGCACTGCACTTTAAATACTATAATCACATATTCAGGCAATTAAGACAATTGTCACATATTAAAAGTTGTATATATTCCACGTTTAAATAATGGAAATATGCATTATATAATTAAACGCACCAACATCTCCCGAACATAAATATGAACATTAGGTTAGGGAAGGTTTATTCATTCATTTATTTTCATTTTGCTTCTTAATCAGTGGTTGCTACAGTGGAATGAACCGCCAACTTACATCATATGTTTTACGCAGCGGATGCCCTTTCACCTGGGAAACCAGTACTGGGAAACATCCTTACACGCATCACATTCACGCACATACACTACAGCCAATTTAGTTCATTCAATTCACCTATAGCACATGTAGTTGGACTGTGGGGGAAACCGGAGCACCCAGAGGAAACCCACGCCAACACGAGGAGAACATGCAAACTCCACACAGAAATGCCAACTGGCCCAACCAGGACTCAAACCAGCGACCTTCCTGCTGTGAGGCGACAGTGCTAACCACTGAGCCACTGTGTCGCCCCACAACTTGGTTAAATCCTGCTAAAAATATACAAAAATAAAGCTAAATATGGGTGTAAGTTTACTGAAGTGAAGATTTGTGACTCATCACCTTTTCTTTAAGTCTACACATGTGAAATGTATTATAAAAATAAACTATTCAATCTGCATTTTGGATGTTTTCTTCAATGCTAATCTGAAAGTAGCCTACCCCAAATTAGGCTAAAATCTTAGAATTGAGCTGTCTTTGTGTTGTATTTTAAAATATCTTGTGCTCTCTTTAGGTTCTGGACAATGCTATAGAGGCTGAGAAGGTAATTCGGCGCTATGAGGCTTTAGCATCCGACCTGTTGGAGTGGATTGAGAAAACCATTAGCATTATTAGCAACCAGAAGTTTGCAAACTCGCTGTCGGGTGTTCAGCAACAGCTTCAAGCCTTTACCACCTACTGCACCATCGAGAAGCCTATCAAGTAAGAGAGATTAGTCCATGACTGCCAGGAAAATACTCAAACTATGAGTGTAAATCATCTTGTTCTCCTTTTATTACACATCCATTTAAGGCTACCAGTTATTGTATTGTTGCTTGAAGGTCTTCGCACTCAAGTGAAAAACAAGTGTGCTTTGTTGTATTGAATGTGCTCTTGTAGTGCACTTCAAATCATTACAAGTATATTAAAATACTGTAATGAAAAAGAGGCCACTTAAGTGTACTTCTTAACAAACTGCTGCACAAAACAGCGCACTTAATATCTAGCTAAAATGTCTACAAATTAAATATTGTTTTCAATCTATTTGTTATGCTTTAAAGTGAAGTGTTTTTATGTATTAACCAGCATACTAAATGTATTATATGCACGCTGATAACAATTGTTTTCATGCTTAACATGTTTCCAGTATGTTAATAGCATGAATTAGCATATTGCTGGCCATGTTTAACACTATGCTAACACAAATCAGCACATGGTTAACACATTTTAACTGCTAATATATTTTGTAAACTACTCCCTACTAAAAAAAAACAGCTTAAACCAGCCTAGGCTGGTTAGCTGGTTTAAGCTGGTTGACCAGGCTGGTTTTAGAGGGGTTTTGACCATTTCAAGCTGGTTTCCAGCTATTTCCAGCCTGGTCTTAGCTGGTCAGGCTGGGAGATGACCAGCTAAAATCAGCTTGACCAGCCTAGCCAGGCTGGGAGTCCAGCCAAAACCAGCTATGCCCAGCTTAAACCAGGCAGGTCAAGCTGGTTTTATCTGGATTTAGCTGATGATTTTAAGCCTGACCAGCTAAGACCAGGCTGGAAATAGCTGGAAACCAGCTTGAAATGTCCAAAACCCCTCTAAAACCAGCCTGGTCAACCAGCTTAAACCAGCTAACCAGCCTAGGCTGGCTTAAGCTGGATTTTTCAGCAGGGCTTGTAGCCTATATTTTGTATAGTAGTTGCCAGGGGCGTTGCAAGGGTCGAAAGAGATAAGGGGCTTATTACCTCATCAGCTTCAGCTCCTCAAAATAATGAATGAATGAATGAATGGCGGGAGTTTTTTAAACACCATGTGACAACAGTACCACTCCCACCAGCTGGTTGAAACAGGTTCTGCTGAACAGCTGACTATTTAATCACCTCACACAAACTCTGCGTTAAGTGGAATGCGTGTGATGTTTGTGGTAATTTTAGGTGGGGGCTTCAGTCGATCGGTTAGTCAGTCAGTCAGTCAGTCGGCCGGTCGGTCAGTCAGTCAGTCAACCAGTCAGTCAGTCAGTCAACAGCGGCCTCTGGTGGATTTATGTGAGAACAGCAAGCGTGAATTCCACTCGTGAGCGAAATTTGAGATTTGAAAAAGTATACAAAGTTCCTTCTGGTGGATTCACGAAAACAAAAACGTACCTCCTAGGACATATTTCACGATCACAGGGGTACTTATCAATAATGAGCCTGGGTTGAAAACATTGCATCTTCCTCAAGTGATGTGTTAATCTTATTTGGCTCCTCTTTTGTGTGCTTCATCATCTTCATTTCTGAGTTACTTTCATTCGTCTGTTTGGCATAAAGTTGTGTTCATTGAATATCACAATCAGCAAATGTGCTGAAACTCTAGAGGGCTTTTACTTTCACTAAACTTGTTTAACACCTACTGAACAAAGTTGCTTTTCACTGACAGGCAGTTTGTTATAATAGCATGTGTGGTATTTTAACTGGAAGTGCACATGGAGAGGGTTGGCTTGATGAATGTAATACGGTTTGTGTGGTTATTGTGATGTGGATTGCTGTTTGCCAGATTCCAGGAGAAAGGGAACCTGGAGGTGCTGCTTTTCACCATCCAAAGTAAGCTCAGAGCTAACAATCAGAAGCCATATGTGCCTCATGACGGAAAACTGATCTCAGACATCAATAAGGTAAACACTGCATAGCTAACGAGATTTTCAAATGGTTACAACATCAAATCGGTCTTCTGTGTACCTAAAAAGGGATATTAGTCCTAATTTATGTTAAGTGGCTTTAACTACTATGTATTTGCATCAGAAAAATTAATACACTGCACTTACTGTGTTCATAGTGTATTGCAGAACACTTGTGGTTGTCTTGAGGATACGGATATGGTTAAGGTCAGATTTGGTGGTGTGGGCAGGTTTAAGGATGGGTTAAGGTGTAAAGGATAGTCAACAGTGTATTAAAAGATAATTGTGTATATACAGATGTAATTACATGCAGGTATTTAATCAATCATAAGCACAATGTAATAACATTTATTTACACAATAAGTACATTGTAACAAATGATTAATTTCAGTGTAAGTACGTGTTAGTTAAGACCTCTTAATATAAAGTCGGACAATTTGTTTTATTTGACACAAGTGATGTGATGTGAATAAATTAATCATTATCTCGAAGAAATATATAGCAGCAGTCAAAATGAGTAGGTTTATTTAATTAATTACATTTTGTATTTGTTTTGAAGAAGTAAAGTCTTTTGAGCTTAATAAGTAATATTTTGAAACATTAAATTTGATTTTGTTTCTATTTTATTATTAAAATATATATACTGTATAAAAATTCTAATTGGCTAAATTGGTTAAAAAAATACTTATTGGTGCTGAATTATTAATAAATATTGATATTAAAAACATTTTTGCTGTGTAATAGAATACATAAAATAATGAAAAGTTCTAATAGAAGCAGAATTTATTTGAAATATTTTTAGAATTATTTTATATGCCTTTACTGTCACTTTTAATACAAGTAGTCATTTCTTTTACTTTTCCTATTTTAATTA